GCTTTTTTTTTGGCCCCCCCCCCCCCCCCCCCCCCCCTCACCAAAAAAAAAAGACATTGTGACAAAGTGACATTGCTTGTATATCGGCTGCCAGAATTTCTAAAATAAACATCTAACCTCGAACGTAAACTTAATTTAAACTTTTGGTGACTTTGACCATACACGGGCACCAGAACCAGCAAAGCAAAGATTCATGTACTATTGAATTATGTATGAATATTTCTTTCAAAACGATTAATGTATGGGTCAGACTTGCCCAAGTTCGTTATAGAAGCATAAAAGTACAACAGTTAAAGAACGATAACATTAGAGAAGATTATGAAACCCTCCCCCTACACTACTATCAGATAGATCAATATATTGATAAGGGTTGTAATGAAAGATAAACACATGTAATTAACTAATTAAAACACTTATTGTATATCACACTCGTCATAGTAATATATCACTGTATAATATGGTCAGTATGAAGGTTATTGGGTCAATATGTTAGTAGCCATGTTTTTATCTGATTTCTGAACTCTTTCTTAGTTTGAACTAAATTGCTATCTTACGTTTAGCAGGTTTTTGTTAAATGCGGACGAAAATTGTCATCATAGTCCAATCGACATTTCATAAAACAATATAAACCATTTTCCAATTGCACTTCCAAGATGTAAGAAGAATATTTTGATAAACGGCTATGACTTACTGTCCTTAGAATCTCCGGATCTTACCCGAAAATGTTTCAGAGACGTTTATAGACTTATTTTATATCTTGTATTGCTGAGTTCTAAACCCATTCATTATGAGCTATATTTCGGACAACTGTGAGCCTTTTACTCTATTGGTGACTTATAGACAGCCTGGTGAGTTTGGTTTGGTATTATCATATTGTCTACATGAATTTGTATTGAGAAACTAAATATAGTAAGATGTTCCTGATCTAGATCTGGTATATGTACTATAGTGGGTATTTTGAGGAGATTTATAAGATGATATATATCATACTAATTATATTCTATACTGTCAACTCTTTACCGTTATACTATTGATCTATATCATAGTAACATATAATATTTCTGGGTGGGTGTTAATTGAGGATTCTCCACCAGAAAGTAGCGAATAGAAGCTGAAGTGGACGGAAGCCGACAGCTGTGTTTTCTTTCAAAGATACATGGATTTCAGATAAGAATCTTCTTATATCGTTACACACCAATTGCATTTCAAAATGAAATATTTAACTTCAGTTTTGTCGACAAGTACCCCTTGTTTTGTTCAACGTTGAGGTTTGTGTCTAACATCCCAAGAATGTAAACTAGTACGGATTATGAGAGCTAATCATCCCGAACGCTGTACTATATACAAACGCCATTTGTAATATTTCTTTTGATTGATGATAGCAATTGCATAATCTCCATTTTATCCCAGGTGGAACAGTAGTGCAACCGGAAACCTTTGGCGTGGAAGGTCAGATGGACAGTTTAGTACATGAAATTGGTCATAATTTTGGATTATGGCATGTACACCACGGTGTGTCCGAAGTACCATGTGGTGACCAATGTTTGGAAAACGAACCATCTATGATACATGGTGATATGTGTGCTGACACCTTCCCTACTCCTAAAAATCAGGGCTGTCACGATCCCTTACCTACTGAAGATGCTTGTGGTTCCCTGACAGCCTATAAAGATACTCCATTTAGAAATTATATGAGTTATTCTGGTATGTATACAATCCACCTTGCTCAATAAAAATCCGTCCCAAGCTACCCGGGATGATACTCGTGACATTCGGCAATCTTCGACAGTTTCCGTAAAGCTGATGTGTTGTAGAGCGACTTTCACTCCATGGTTTGTTAAGTTGCAACAGATCAAAACCATAAAAACGCTTTCGTATTTCTCATGGTTGAATTCACTGAGTCTTTAATCTTTTACGTCTCCTTAACATATAAACAGTTCTTAATATTCTACTGAATAATCATACATTCATATCTAATATGTCGTTTGTACAGTTAGCAGATCACCCAAGCTAGACAATGATATTATTTCCAGATGTTGCATCGTTTATAAAAAGACAATAATTTTTTTTTCAGCTGATAACTGTAGTAGTGAATTTACGCCACACCAAACAGCCAGAATGCACTGTTATTTAGATTTGGTTTATCAACCTTGGAGGACATCTACAGAACCAGCTCCAATTCCCCTAGCACCCAGGGTAACGTTTCTTTGTTATGTAGTCCACGGGGTGGGAACTAACAGACGGAAAGGAATTAAAACGTGCTGAAATCACAGTATTCCATCTGGCTGTAAGAAATGTTAAAACCGATTAGTCTACAGCTACAAAGTCTCCACTTATCCATTTATTATGAACAGTAAGTTCTAAAAATGGATTATAAAAAATTTTTGACGTTAAATATTTTTTATTGAGTTTATTTGTTTAGATAGCCCCATCTCAAGAAGACTCGGTAACAATAATCTGGACACCACCACTGAGTTCTGGTATCAATGATTGGGAATCTGTCTGTAATCTCTGTTCAACTGATGGATCACTAACTCAATATGCTGTCAATGCTTCTTCACCATCTCCTACAGATAGATGGAGTCCACAACAAGCTACAGGTATGTATGTTTAACCATATCATACAAGTGAAATAAAAGAAACATGACGCTGGTGGTGTTTTACCAATAGAAACAACTGTTGTTCTTAGTGAACCATGGAAAAATTATTACTTAACAAGCTGTACAATCAAATGTAGGATTCCCCCAACTTGATGAAACTAACAGCTCCACTAAAATGGTGGCCCATATAACTGGCATTTTTATTTTGCCGAGCGGTTGTAGAAACGGCAACTCCTTATAGTTTGGATTTTCGAGATCACTTCACACATGCTATATCAAAACACGATGTATTTCCCGAAATTATTTTATTTGAATATGTACAGGTAGTCCTGATGCAGAGAAATGTGATTCTAGTACTAGAGCCTGGATGCCGAATGTCTATAGCTGTAAGAAGAAAGGTTGTCGAATTGATTTATACTTCAAATGGCCAGTCATTCCAGAGAGGTAAGGTAATAGATATCTTGTGTGCAGGTGATTGTGTTGGATATTCAGAGGCCACTGCTGGCTAAAATTGTTAGGTTTAAGGATTCCCTGAAGTTCATCTATCCTGTTCTGAGAAGGCCTGTTTAGTACTTCTAGAGGTATGCACGACAATGAAAGCCGGCTTTGCTATACAGGCTTATAAATTCGTGATTTTTGATGTAGAAATAATATTAAAAATTATGTTTTCAGATTGTCCATCTGGGTGGTATGGAATGCAGTTAATGGTATCAAAAGAATTAAGCTGTATTTTGAAGGTGGACAGTCTAATTTGATCAAAGATTTACCAGCACATTGTGATATGCCTCTTACCTCTAGGTTGAATGTTGATAAAAATCTAACAAAGGTAACAAAAAAATGCGAACCATCAAGAAAGAAACGACAAAGGATAATAATTTAAGTTCATGAAGATCCTGTCCACCAGCTGTCTATAGCCAAACCTATAGGCACTGATCTTTCACAGATTAACTCTCCCTTTCACAGCTGGGATCTTTGGGTAAGATGTCTCATGGTTGTCATACGCAGACCTGCGACCACCATTTGTTCGACACTACCAGAGGCACACATATCAATAGACATATGATGCAATGACCCAGTCTCAATACCTTTACTTTATCATTAACATCGTGAAGATGTATGAATTATATCTATGTGTATTTTCAGATAAGAATTTATACCAAAGATCAGTATGTAGCTATAGATGCTGTGGAAGTAACATCATCACCACAAAACAGTAGATGTGATAATTGTCATCAACTAAAATATCATATTTATAGAGATCCGCCGTTTAAACAGCATCATTTTAAAACAACGCAGACCACACAGTTTACTGATAGGTAGGTTCTGGATATCGTCTGTACATTTGCAAACTCGTAGTTATCAGTGACTAAACTACCATAAGGACTGGGTCAACCAAGTCCATGGGACCCCCTCCCCTAAGGGGTTACCACCTTCAGAAAAAAGCAGGAAAAAAAATGGTAAAAATAAATTTCCAGGGGAAGGAGATCCAAAATACGTAGGCCCACCGGCCCCCACTCATCTCGCCATTAGAAGTTATTTTACAGCCAATAGTCTGAAAGAGCTTTTGGTAATACTACATCTGTAAATATGGTATATGTCAAGGACAGCATATTTTGTAAACCGCCCTCCTTTCAAAAAAATAGTCACAACTCATCGATCATTTTAGGATTTTCTCGATTCGAAGCATACTATATAGTCATATTGTGACAATCGTGCTCGAATTTTTGTTATTTATATTTCAGTGAGGTAGAAATTGGTAAGAGTTATCGTTATTGGATCAAGGCATCTGGTTCGAAGATCAGCCAATCTTCACCATCGTTACATTATAAACATGGTCAGCCATATTGTGGTGATGGAGTCGTCAACCAGTAAGTTTATGTTGGTTTGGTAAACAAATGACATTTCGTGATGTCCGATTTTGTTTGATAGATAGCATTCTCTGATGTTGTTCCAAGGTTTTGCTCTATCACAAGTTCACGATAGGTTATGTTCCTTACTGTAGATAAGTACATCAGATGAGCTTGGAGGGAGAATTCAGATCAAGATGTGATTTTGGTGACTTATTCGTATTTCAGATCAAATGAAGAATGTGATGATAGAAATATTAATAGTTATGATGGTTGTAGTTCAGATTGTCAAATTGAACCGTCGTTTCAGTGTAAAGGTGAGACTATCAAGCATTTGTTTAAGGGCGTTTTGGATACTTATTGTATCTTGTTCAGCAATATGAAACATCTTGTTTAAAGAAAGGCAAGCACTTTAATGCGTTTTAGGTTAAAATCAGAACGAATTTTATTATGTTTGAAGGTGAACCGAGTCTTTGTTATCGACATGATGGTGATGGTGTGTGTGAAGAGTTTGAAAAGACCACCAGTATTAGAGACTGTGGTTTCTATATACCACCGGGTTACATGGACCAATTAGCATCATCAGCTATAGCCAATCCTCAATACCAGCATCCTCATTGTCCAGTTACAGCTGTACTTGGTCAGCCTAGTATTGATCTGGTAAGTATATGTACAGGTTATGGACTTGATGATGATCGTCCTTATCACTCATTAGTTTGGTAGTTTGCAGGTCATCGCCTAGTATGACAACCTGGATTATCACTTCCAGTTGAACTGACAAAACCTTCAGTGGACATTCAATGTAACATTTTACTCTTATCGCAAAGTATTTCTGATTAATATTAAAAAAAGAATTATTTATAGGTTTGCAATCGCCATTTTGATTCCACTGAATCCTGGCATCCATGTGGTAGTTTTACGGAATACGGTGACTTTTGGATTGAGGTAAGTACTTTGGAGGCCATTTTTTTTACCTTTTTTATGCATTATCAATTTTGATACCTACTATGTTTATGAATGTAGATCGAGGTTCATCTAGCATTTTCAATTTCATTTCAATTCCATCTACGTTGTTGCAATTTTCTTTTTTAGGTTTATTTTCCACGACTGGTAGTGGCCACAGAAGTTATCATACATCTTGCTTCAGATGGTTCAGTATTACAAGATTCACTACTGTCCGTGGAATTGATTAAACAGAATAACGAAACGTCCATTCTATCACCAAGAATACATACAATATCATGCGATATTAATCCATTTCATATACCAGTTATACATGATCTCTCACAACCTTTCTATTATACCAAAGGTATGTTGAAAATTGCTCTCTTATTTGGACATTTTAGTATTCTGTGTTCGATCCCAGCAAAGGCTTTGTGTATCCTGTCATTCAAGAAATTAGGGGGTGCGCGTGGCATAAGAGTCTCGCTGATCGGATTGGACAATAACCTACTTGCATTACATGTGGTAGTAGTGAATAAGAGGACGCAATGCATATCTTTTGCAATACAGTTTGGACGGCACAGAATCATTATCAATCACAATCACGAGCATCAATCGATCAAGTCCTCAAATAGACAAAATTCATTAATTGCTACAAAGTTTATTTTTTGAAGAGTCCCGTTTGGTGCAGAATATTCCGCACTTTCTTAAATAGGCCGCTCACAGCGTGACTCTTTTATGTTTTTGCAAATTTCAGGTGTTCGTTTAACATTTACCTCATTCAATATCAGTATATCAGCAGTGAGATTAAGATCTTATAAATATTTAGATCCTATCACAATAGCTAGCTGTACCAAAGATGAACTGTTTAATCCCAGATCAGGGCATTGTGTATCGCACGATAGTCAACTTACTACCTGTCCTCCCTATCTGCTTGATCATTCTACAGTATTATGTACTGGTCACTCTGATGGTGATGAATGTTCGATTACTTGTATTGAAGGGTAAGTACCACCGTCTTCCTGAGGTCTTTCACCAAGCTCTTAAATCCAAGAGGAACACGAGTAAGGGTATCGTTAGTGAGGCAGACTATTCTTTAATGTCTTAGCTTTGATGATTAAGTCTACAATCGTTCATATGGTGGGAATATCTAGTTTAGATCAAGTTTACCCATGATGGTTTGTTGTTCCTCGGTTAAAGTTGGAATACCATCATTGAGACTTTCTCTCTGTTGCTCTCATTCACTTTGGAAGTTTTTAAACATTTGGCAGTCTGTAATGTATGCTTGTCGCCTTCAAGGATTGCTCATAGAACCCAAAAATTATTAATTTAATATTCTGTTCTAATGGCAGATATCGATTAACAAGTACCAATAATAAGATAGTATGTTCTGATGGTCAGTGGTCAAGTTCTAGTCCAGTACGATGTGAACTAGTAGAATGCGGTGTCCCTGTCATACCTCATTCTACCACACACTGCAACTCTGGTACCACATTGTACTCTAATTGTACTTTCAACTGTATACCGCCAGCTAAACACCAAGGTACTGTGTAAAGCTGATGATCATTTTTTGTATTTGCAGTTGCATTTGAAAATCTCGACAGTGGATGTATCATTGTTTATATTTTCGTAACTTTCTATTAACTACAAGAAGAAGATTGACATATCAAAATATCCGAAATGCTGGGGATTTTGAAGGGGGATAACCTGTATAAAAATATCTAAAATCCATTGTGGAACTTGGTTTGTCATTCATTAACATACCTACGATACTACACATAGATAATTTCGGTATTTATTATTGCTATCTTCAGGACAATCGAATACCGTCCAATGTGATGTTAATGGTTTGTGGACTTTACCTCTAGGAGCATGCATCAAACAATGTTCACAACCCAAAGAGATTCCGTTCGCTAAAATAGCATCAAGGAAATGTAGACGAGGACCTCAACCTATTGGTGCCAAATGTAAATATAGATGCCGTAAAGGATTTAAAGTCGAGAGTTCAAGAAAGAAAAAGAGGTGAATTTATTTTTGTTTAAATATGTTTGCTCTATGTCATTTATAACCAAGCAAAATTAAGAATGTAAGATCAAGGTCTGATGATGACGTAAATGTGGAAAACTGAAAAGACAATTCTAAGGAGTTTTTTTTACGTTTAACTTATACTAAGGTTATCGTTGTGATGATCTTCACATTATGAAATATGGAAGCTTTATTTGAATTTGAAAAGAATTTCAAAGTATGAATTTCTTGAGAAGAGACTCTCTGTTTGAAATTTTTAAAATTGATTCTACAGTAACGATATGTATATGTTGTTTCAGAAGAGTAACATGGAGAACCTGTGGTGAGAACGGTGAATGGAGTAATATTGCATGTGAACGTGTAAGATGTCCACCTATAGATCCAGTACATGATGGACAGTACGCTTGTACTGATGGTATAAATACAGGAAGTACATGTACTATGACGCCATGTACTTATTCTAGACAGGTATGTTATAATCCGTCTTTGTCTAGTACTTTATGGCTTGGTGCTTAAGCGTATCCTCCTACGCTATAAACACATAAAATCTAACTCTACTGATTCTAGACATGTATATGTTCTTCCTGGCTGGCTTGTACTTATTCCAGACATGTATATGTTCTTCATGGCTGGCCTATGCCTTTTCCAGACAGGTGTATGTTCTTCCTGGCTGGCTTGTACTTATTCCAGACAAGTACATGTTCACTCTGGTTGATATGGCTTATTTTTGTGCGTATGTACTTTTTACAATATCATTATTATACATAATGGTTCATTACAGTTAATCAAGATAAAATGTATGAAGAATGGTAAATGGAGTGGACAATTTAAAAGTTGTGAACCTTACCAATTATTAAGTTGTTCAAGACCAGTAGCAGTTGATTTAAATTTTAGATGTACACAGTTGGTGGTTGGTATGTTTCTTATATAGGACATTTTATTAGCTTAGTCTTTTAAATTCTTGTAATAAAAATATGTCTCTTTGTTTAAATGAAACGAAAACCATGTAGTATATAGATTGTACATGTTACAACTGGTGAGCTAGAGAGAGAGCTGATGAATTGCCGCCACTGTTCTGAAATTATGTATGTGATTGTACTCGTGAACCACCGTTTCCATAAACCGCGAGCAAAATTTCCAACTCCCAATAGATTCGGATTCTATTTGTATCCATACCTTCTACTGCTGTGGTTGATTGTCTTTTGATTTATATATGTTTCTTCTATCATACTTTCTCTGCACTGCATCCAATCTGAATTTTCCATGAGAAAGCGGTAACACAGTTGCTACCTTTGTCGAGGCGATTTTGCATTTAAAGAACAGGAGCAGACTTCATGGATTTATTTGGTGATTTTACTATTGTCTTCTGTACAGGGTCTTCTTGTCGTGTACGTTGTAAACGATCTACTCATGAACCAATATTAGAAACCAAACACCATATTCCAGTAACAAACCACGAGCCAAGGGAAATAACTCGATATGTCGTCTGCTCAGATTCCAAGGAATGGTATCCTAGTCCAGAATACTTGGTATGTGTGCAAAAATGCAACAAGGTAATATTCCGAATAATTTATTTGGTGTTCTCCTTCTTGGATTTGGAACACCCCCTTTGACTATATAGAGTAACTTAATACAAAACAAACTTAACAAAATTAGGACGTCCCCATCGCATTTAAGAAAATTTTTCCGATAGCGTGTAGGCCACATATCTGTCCAGTCTAATTAAAATTAGACTTAAGTTCCGTTCGTATTTTATTAGTTTCGTTAAAGATTAACAGAATGAAAAGTCAAGGACAGTGTTAGACCTTACTGTAGTGGTTACGTACAAAGCTAATAGCTAATAAAACATTCGAAAGGAAACTCATAAAAGACGAACAGAACCGAGGCTACAGTAGATATCACAGACTTTGAACTAGACACTCAGTAAGCTTAAATAACCTCCACTATACTTGATCTTGTAGGACAGACGAGGCGATGGCTGGTGTGATGAAGTAAATAATAGGGAACATTGTGGCTGGGATAATGGTGACTGTTGTGAATCAACAGCTAAATCGGGATTACTTCCCTTTTCTAGATCTTGTATTGTAGGTTGTACTTGTCAGGATCCTAATGCAATTGAGAATATTTCTAAGTCCAAATTAGCTAGAGCCAGAATAAGTCATTCAAATGGTTGAAATAGTAATATTTTGATAGGATAAATATGCATTTTTTTTTATTTCTAAGACGCAATAGATATTAAAGAAAGGGTTCCAATTGATAATGTCTTTCAAAGAGAGCTCTTTGACATACTTCCTGTTCCTCAAGAAAATCAAATTCGAATGTACAAAGATCCGGGCTATACTGCAAGAGCCTCTTGTTTATAGTCATGGCATGTTCGGTTGTGACAATGAAGACAACGTGGTGCTCCATCAAACTATATTCATTCTGAGCAACAGAAAACTACTGTACCAAGCATGGTTATCTACAGACGCCCTTATGATTTTTATGGACTATGGAGAAAACAAGAACATTGATATTAATTAAGTGAAACAGTGTCTATAATGTGCAGATCTTAAAGGGATTGTGAAGAGGTTTTCTAAAACATTCATGAGTATAGTAAAACTTCTTATAATCTCTTTTAAGGGCAACAGATTCTTGTAGCTGCATTTAGATTGATGATTAAGTATTCTTTTCGGTACTTACGTAGAAGACGGTCAAAATTATATCATTTATATGAGACTCAAGAACGCTAAATAAAAATGATTTTTATGAAAATGTTCCTTGTATAGGGCAACATCACGTGAACCTTAAGTTATATACTTACCATCTCGATATCTCAACTGTACGAACCAGTTTCATCTATCCCTTGATTCGGTAAATTGATATACATGCATTCCCATATTTTTAAGAATTAGTTCTCGACAAGATTCCTCAAATAAAAATCTCCTATACCTCATATATAACGCGTTAGTTGATTGGTCAGATTGAAAATGACGAATAAGATAGTCTAATAGTCTTTAAGCAATTCAAGGTGTTACCAAAACTTTTATGGTACTTGTATAGCTTTCTGCTTCTGTTTGCACCCATCCGAATTAAAAAAAATCCACAAATTTTTTCTTTGGATTTACGATTTTGAAAACAAGGTGCAAAAAGCAGGTTATAATGTTTAAGACCATAAAAAACTTCCTATTAAATCTCCTTTATTGATAGTGATGAACCAAATCGACTTGGACCTACGACATCCTTTAAGTTTTTTAACACAGATAACACAGAAGGTTAAATTTAGATAATAAATTCATGTTGTTGTGGTTGTCACATATTTTTGAAACAGATAAAATTGTCATGGCACGTGCTGCATATTAATTGTATCGAATTTCATTAAACGTGCGTCTGTGTATCTTTAGAGAATGATCGGATGCCCTGATTCGATCCTTTTGCTTTGTTATTGTTATTTGTATTCTGTTGTTTGTTATGTAATGATTTATATATTGTTATCATTGTTATCTGTGTGTTATTATATGTTATAAATTATTTATTAAAATGGTTAAATAGGTTATTAAAATATTTAAAAATCTTGTCTCTTGACTAATATAGTTCCTTTTTTATCTGGTTTATATCTGGTTTGAAGAGCTTGTGGTGGACTATTTATTTATATGCAACCTCATTAATATCAAACTCTTCATCTACGCGGGGTTACCTCCCTTGATTTAACAAAAATGGTTTATGCACGCAGGGATTTTATCATGCCAATCGTTATAGACATGAACAAAATATCGAGAGGAGGGCGGTACTCAGTAAAAAAATCCTTGGAAGACCGTGGTATATTCGAGGTCTTTCATCAAACACAATCTTATTTAGACATCAATGCGTATACAATAGCGTTATTAAATATTTTATCAGATCATATTCTAAAGTTGTGAGCCACTGTATACAAAATACATCCAACATACTTTTCTGAATAACATGTGAAAATAATTTTTTCATGCATTAGGTTATTAATAAGAAAGGTATAAGGTATTTTGGGATAATGAAAGTTTCCATTGCCTTGCTCAGTGTCTGATTATGAAGCCATTTGTTAAAAAAAAAAACAGGTTTACAAAATTAAACAATCCAATCCAGTGCTACGTTTCAAAACTTGAACACGTATCAAGTGTAAGGAATTCTGTGATATCTTTGATGAAATTTGACTCATACTGCATGCACACTTTTCAAGTAGGTGTGGTAAGTCTATAAAAATCATAAAACATAATATAATACATATAACCTGATTTAAAGACGCATGTGGTCAGATCTAGATTAAGACAAGTAATAAACATAAAATAAACATAAAGCAGTATCTAATCTGTAAGATACACACTTTTCTCATCAATAGATTTTTATTCTTAATAATGGTTCATAAACATAGTATCTATTGACAATTTTCATTATGAACATATTAACAATAACAATATGGAGATATTCTTTCATCGTAGAAGTGATTGATGTCTGACAGCTGATGCTCCACAATCATTAAATTAATAGTTGTACATCACCTGTAATAATACGTCACCAAGACGAAGACAAGATGGAGATCGATCAGCTTCGAAGTAAACGTGAAATTAAAGATGGCGATCGATTAGCTTCGCAGCAAAAGTGGATATTAAAAAGTGAAATTATGTTCGCTACCTCATTATTATGTCCGCTTTAACTAGCATCGATTTCCGTTGATTGCCACCTTACGGTTATTAAATAGTCCGGGTTTAAAGCAAGAGGCAGTCAGACGAAGAAAATGTCTCTCGGGCATCATGAATTCAGACATGTTATTTGCAAATTAGGGTCTCATTATGATAATCGATATCCAAATGATATTGTTCCTATACTATTAGTGGAACGGCTTAGTATTATCATTCCCATATCAATCCATGTAGATTTTATTTATTCTGGAGCCACTTGTGTTTTACCAATATAAACAGACTAGTAAAATAATGATAGTAAATAACAGATTTTAAATAAGGAAAACGCGTATTTTATAAAAGATGATCAATAAATTAATGTTTACACTCTACGAAGACATGCTTTACTTCCCTGAATTGGTTCATGACAACCAAGTATACCATCGAATAAAGAAGAAATTTTGCCAGACTTTGACATATGCTTACTCATTTGTAACTGACAGAGCACAGATTGCAGTAAAGGGGATCTGGTGTTATTGTTTCGTCCAACGTCTCAACGTTTTTTCTATTATATGGTTCTTCCAGCTTGCATGACTTAAAAGATCCACAAATATCGTTTTGGTGAAAATAGAATCTACAAATGACCGTCTTGTACATAAGAAGATCAGTATATATTCTAGGAATTCATTTAGCCAATAATCAAATTTAAAATAAAATTGCTTATAAAAATCTTTAAATTCAAATTAGAAAATAATGATATGAAGTAAAAAACTTGATAAAAATCTGTAATTTCAAATAAGAAATTGATAATTTAAAATAAAAAACCTGTGTTAATTAACAAGTTAAAAGGTTTTATAATAACATAATTATCAAAAAATCATTAACATAAAATTCGAATTCAATTCAATCATTATTAAGGACGACTAAGTCAGTTGATAACAGAATTTTTCAGTGGTATCAACTACTGTGACATGATGAAAATAAGCCCAAACATTCTAGATGTAAATTTAGATCCGGAAAAAGTATATAAATATTGCTTTCTGCAAGTTAAGAAGATTCAAACATCAACTCGAGTGTGGTGCATGCTTCCGAGATCTAGGCACGGTCAACCTCCGTTGCTAAGAAATTAAGTTGAAACAATGAATTTCCATAAGTGACTTGATCTCTCCTTTTCCACCGTAAAGACATGGACTGCGGAATTCAAGCATGCGACAGAGAGCCTTGACGATGGCCAGCGCTCGGGAAGGTCTTCATTAGCAACCATTCCGGAAAACATTTCCCCTGGCATGGTGATAACTGATCGTTTATGCACCAATTGATATACTGTTAGTGCTGTGAGGAATCTCCCATGCGTGGGTTGACGGCATTATCACCAACAAATTGGTAATGACAAAAGTTTCTGCAAAATGGGAGCCAAAGTTCGTGACAATTTCGTGACAATTTATGCCGTTTTAGAGCCAATCCTTATAATATTTTGGCCCAGTTCGTAAGCATGGATGAGACTTTAATACAGCCTACACAATTTAATGTGGTCGTAGAATTTGACAGTTGTTTTAAATAGGCGTTGCCGAGTTGTTTACACCATAAGAGTTTCTTAAAGAATCAATAATAACCGTCGAATGTAAATTTGTTTCCGTTATTAAGACAATTTTTCTAGTCTACCCAGATCGAATTTGGTGAGAATTTTGTAACTTTGATGAGCCTTAAACAAATTTTGGCAACTCGATTCTGACTCTGTAATTAAAGTCGACTAAATTAACCTTCTTAGTAATTACTTCTCACTTCGTCACTTGATTTCATCAAGTTTTACTAACTTTCAATTATCTACTTCCGTTCTAACCACGTGACCGTACGCACTCGAGGCAAATTGTCGTGCTATTGAAAACGAGACTAGAGTAAATGAAAAGCTACTTCAACACAGAAGAGTTCGTCTCTAGTTAGCTCTTCAGAGAAGAAGGAAGAAAAACTCGAACATATTGAAAATATCAATGCTTTCTTTTTGCTGTAATTAACATGCGCGACCTTTTGTTGACGGAGGTCAGCGGAAATTGTAGGTGCGCGTGCCTAGCCTACGGTATTATGTTCCCAATGTCACCACAAGTTTAAAGATCTCTTCAGTTGAAACATTGCTTAATAATCTACATTTAGTAGTGTCAATTTCATGTCGGTTGCACATGCATGTCATATCTTGATGTCCTCTTTATCATTTGAAACACGTGTATTTTGAAGATCTGCATGTCATTCAGCATAATAAGAAAATTAATAATGGGTACATTTTAAGAGGATTTTACTAGCCAGAATCGTCGTGGCACTTTAAAAATTTATCAAGTTCTCCTTATTTTCTGGGATTCCAAACAGGTGAAAGTGACATGCTCCTGGATTTTCTTTACAGAACATTCTGTTATATTCTGTTTTCTCGTAAAATTTAGCTGGACTGTACTCATTTATATTCTTACTCCAATTATTCTTATTTCAAGCAGATTTTTTATTTGGCCTATCTGAAACAAGTTCGCGAATTTGTACTATTTTTCTGGCATCGTGTT